ACCATCCTGGCTAACACAGTGAAACCCCATCCTCTACTAAAAATAAAAAAAAAAAAATTTCAGGCATGGTGACGGGTGCCTGAGTCCCAGCTACTCGGGAGGCTGAAGCAGGAAGAATGGCAATGAACCTGAGAGGCAGAGCTTGCAGTGAGCGGAGATTGAGCCACTGCATCTCCAGCCTGGGCACAGTACAAGACTCCGTCTCAAAAAAAACAGAAAAGAAAAAAAATGAAAAATTCAGTTGGCTAATATTTCTATTTAGGTTTTGTAACTTACGTCCATAAGTAAATGGCTTATAATTTCATTTTTATTCCTTGTATTATCCTTATCCATTTTAAGAACCAAGTTTATATTAAATTACTAAAATAAATCTGGCAGCTTTAATCTCTTTTCATTCTTCTGAGTTGTTTAGAACACCTTTTATATAAGACAGAGAGAATTGGTACATTGAAAGTTTGGTAAATTTGAGTGTGGCCCCACATTTTGTCACTCAGGCTGGAGTGCAATGGCACGATCTTGACTCACTGCAACCTCTGCCTCCCAGGTTCAAGCAATTCTCCTGTCTCAGCCTTTCGGCAGCTGGGACTATTCCCGGCCACTATTTCTGGCTAATTTTTGTATTTTTAGTAGAGACGGGGTTTTACCATATTATTTGTATTTTTATTTTTAGTAGAGACGGGGTTTACCATATTATTCAGGCTCATCTTGAACTCCTGACCTTAAGTGATCCACCCATCTCAGCCTCCCAAAGTGCTGGGATTATAGGCGTGAGCCACTGCACCCAGCCAGCTAACTGAATTTAACCTATATCATGATCAAGTTGATTTTAACATCAGAAAATCTAGTTATGAAATTTTCTACATTAATGGATTCTAAAGGAAAAGTAAAACCAAATAACTAACTCAATAGAAATCATTGATAATGTTCAATATCTATTAATAATTAGGTTAAAAGTTAGTTTCTTAATTTTGATTAAGAAAAGTTTATAACAAAGAGAGAGCTGGAAATAGAGCAAGATGGCTGACCAGAGATGTATGGATCTTGCCCCTGCTCCTCCTACCCAGGAAGGAGCAAAGCAATGAATAAACAGGTAAAACAGCTACCATTTTACTGAAATGTTGAAGGGAAAGCACTGGAGTGCAGTTGGGGGGAGTGGAGAGGCAGCTGAGGTGATTGGAAATCCAGGAGAGCAGTGTGGAGTTACCCAGCCTCTGCAGCCCTATCTCCCCCACCCAGCTTCAATCAGCCTAGAGACAGGAGGGACTTCCCTTTACAGGAAAAAGGTAAGCAGAACAACTCCACCAGCCCCCATAGCCTTACCCACAGTCCTTGCTACAAGAGAATCCCACAGTCCTTGAAAGCCCTGAGCCTAATTTAGAGAGCTGTCTGAAGTTCTTGCTACCGCACTGCTCTGGATTAGGAACAGAAAGGGTGTGCTCCCAACCTCCACTCACCCGCTGTGAGCCAAGCTGTGGCAGCAGCAGCACCGTGCCATCTTGAGACCAGAGCCACCTCTGGAGTGCACCATTCTATGGGGTCAATAGCCACTGCACCTCTGCAGCATCAGGGCTCCATCTTCTTTCTACAAATCTCACAAGGGTGGCTAAACTCCATAATCCCAACTATGCATAGATTGGGCCTAGGATCAATTGTGAGTCTGGTCCTGCATAACAGAGAAGACAACCCCAACTGTCTCCACTTCGAGACAGGGGAACCACTTGGCAATCCTGCCCAGGGCAAATATGTCTTGAGCCGGCCAAACTGCTGACCACCATCCACAAAGCAGGAGAGGTCCCTGTGCCACCGAGCAGCTGACATGCTGCCCTGTCAGCAGAATGGCTATACTCCTGTGCCCACGGCCTGAGAAACAGCCCTGTGGTACCCACTCCCATTGTTGACGTGCCCCTGTCCTGCCCAAAGGCCCAACACCCCGATCAGGGCCTATGATGCAGCATCGTGGCTCACTCCTGGCAGACATGCCCTTCGGGCTGGCTGACCAGCTGTCCAACCACATTCCAGGCCTGAGAAACAATCCCACAGGGTGCCCCTGGAAGGCACGCCCTAAAGCTGATCCAGTAACTGTACCCGCACATTTCCAGCCTGAAAAAGTCTTTCAGGCCGCCCCTGGCCAACCAAGAAGCCAGGAGTCCACATCCTGAACTTGAGAAAAAACCCTGTGGGCCATGCTTAGCAGACATGCATGCAGGCCAGCCAAGAAGCCATGTGTCCGTGTTCAGGGCCTGAGAAACAGCTTCACAGGCTGCCCCAGGCAGACACCCCACCAGGTCAGCTAAGCAGTGTGCCGACATCCCAGACCTGAGAAATAGTCTCATGGGCCACTCCAGGACACACATCTCCCAGCCAGCCAAGCAGCTTTGTGCCTTTGTTGCAAGCCTAAGTAACAGCCCCGCAGGCTTCGCCTAGAAGACATGCTCCCAGGACAGCCAAGCAGCTGTGCTCCTGTGTCCAGGGTCTGAGAAACAGAGCCACAGGCCACCACTGGCAGGCACCCTCTAGGCTGGCCAAGTAACAATGCATTCGTATCCCCACCCAGAGTTAACAGTCCCATAGCCCCAACCCCAGTGAGCCAGACCCCAAGTTGGTTGACCCACCATGTGCACAAGTGAGCCCCTGACTTGAGAAACAGCCCTGTGCAAAAGCCACATGACCACCACCACCACCTCTTAGCCTAGGCCGCTGAGACATTCACAAATGTCACCAGCATGCTTGTTTGTTTGTTTATTTATTTATTTATTTATTTTTAAGACCGAGTCTTTCTCTGTCACCCAGGCTGGAGTGCAGTGGCGTGATCTCGCCTCACTGCAATCTCCGCCTGCTGGGTTCAAGCAATTCTCCTGCCTCAGCCTCCCGAGTAGCTGGGATTACAGGTGCCTGCCACCACGCCTGGCTAATTTTTATGTTTTTATTGGAGACGGGGTTTCACCATCTTGGCCAGGCTGCTCTTGAACTTCTGACCTCTTGATCCACCTGTCTCAGCCTCCCAGAGGACTGGGATTACAGGAGTGAGTCACCACACCCAGCCTGTCATTAGCATGTATTACAGCTGAAGAAACTATGTAGAGAATGCACTACTGCATCCACCTAGAACGAAAGCTAACACATTCCATTGAAGAAACACCCCAAGACCCATACGAATAAATCTTTCCCTGCAGAAGCTGCTCCATGAAATTGGAACGGTGATTGTTTCATCATATGTGTATAAATCAATGTAGAGCTGGGTGTGGTGGCTCATGCCTGTAATCCCAGCACTTTGGGAGGCTGAGGTGGGCAGATCGCTTGAGCTCATTCAGGAGTTCCAGACCAGCCTGGCCAAAATGGTGAAACCCCGTCTCTACTAAAAATACCAAAATTAGCCTGGCATGGCAGCACATGCCTGTAATCTCAGCTATTCGGGAGGCTGTGGCAGGAGAATCCCTTGAACGTGGGAGGCAGAGGTTGCCATGAACCAAGATCTCACCACTGCACGCTAGCCGACAGAGCAAGACTCTGTCAAAAAAAAAAGAAAGAAAGAAAGAAAGAAAGAAAGAAAAAGGAAGGAAAGGAAAGGAAAGGAGGAAGGAAGGAAGGAAGGAAAGAAAGAAAAATGTAGAAACACATGAAACATGAAAAAGCAAGGAGCAGGACACCTCCAAAAGAACACAATAATTTCCAGTAACAGACACCAATCATAAGAAAATATACAAAGTTCAACCATAAGAAAATATACAAAGTTCCTGCCCGGCGCGGCAGCTCACGCCTATAATCCCAGCGCTTTAGAAGGCTGAGGCGGGAGGATCACGAGGTCAGGAGACTGAGATCATCCTGGCTAACACGTGAAATCCCGTCTCTACTAAAAATACAAAAAAATTAGCCGGGCGGCGTGGTGGCAGGCGCCTGTAGTCCCAGCTACTCAGGGGGCTGAGGCAGCAGAATGGTAGGCAGAGCTTGCAGTGAGCTGAG